CTGGGGGGTGGGGAAGGGGGTAAATGGAGAGGGGGCTCTGTCTCTGATGGGAGGAGTTCCGTCTCCGTGGAGATTGTCCCCGCCCCTTCCTGCGGATGTGACGCAGGGCACGGAAGTGGCTGTTGGGGACCGGAAGTAGCGGGCGGCGGGATCGAGTCGCTTTCTCGGAGTTTCTGAAAATCACCGCGAGGCCCCGGGGCTGCACCGAGACCGAGAGACCGTGAGTCCCGCCCGGGGGGAGGGAGAGGGAGCCGGACAGGCCCGGGGGGCGGGGTGGGGGGTGATAGAGAGACACCGGCCTCCCTCGCCGCTGCGTAACTAGGCCTGAGGATCCCGGGCCGAGGCCTGGAGGCCGCTGTGTGGGGAGCCTGGAATCGAAGTCGCCTCTGATTCACAGGAAAAGATCGATGGGAATGTGCGGTCCCTTGTTTGGGGGAATCGGGCACCGATCCTCGTGCTACAGTAACAGTCTACATTTATATAGCGCCCCGAGCGCGATATGTCTTCTCGGGGACTTTGGGCCCTGAAATCTTTGGGGGTTGGAAGAAGGCCCGAGGCCGCGGCATCTGAAAGACCCAGCCTCTCATGGTCATTATACAAAAGGATGGGGAAAGGCAGGGAGCGAGGCTATTGAGCGGTTTTGTGAAAAGACAATCAGTCCTTTAATGTTGACATGATGTTTGATTGGAAGCCGATGGAGCTGATTGGGATTTGGTGCAAGTTTGGACTAACGCAGTATAGTTTTTCACGGGCTCATATTTATATCGATGGGATGTTGGGGATTGGCCAAGAAGGCATGTGTTACAACAGTTAAGTCTGGAAGTAACAGTCATGCATAAGAGTTTCAGCAGCGGATGAGCTGAGGCAGGGGCAATAATGACCAGTGTTAAAGAGTTAAGTTGGGCATCCTGATTGATGACCTGAAAGCTCTCCTCAAGGTCAACTATAATGATCAAAATTGTGAACAGCCAGTTGCCACACAGAGGGATAGAGTTAAGAATAGATCCTTTGAGAATACTACAGATAATCATGCAGAAGCAAGGAGAAATTACTCTGGCTGCGACTGGATATATTTGTGAAGTATGGAAGATTTCAGCAATTTGAGAGGAAGCAGGAGAACCTATTGTTTAAATATGAACCTTCCAGATTTTATCCAAATGTCTGGCTGGAAAAATACTGACCAATCAGTCAACACTATCTTCCAAATAAAAACCGAAAGAACTGCGGATGCTGTAAATCAGGAACAAAAACAAAATTGTTGGAAAAGCTCAGCAAGTCTGGCAGCATCTCCTAAGTTCTGAGGAAGGGCAACCAGACCCGGAAGGGTAACCGGACCCGAAATGTTAACTCTGTTTTTTCATTCACAGATGCTGAGCTTTTCCAGTAATTTTGTTTTTGAACGCTATCTTCCATGCAATCTAAGTATTAGTTTGTCCCTTAAATTGGTATTCTTGCAAGTTGTGCTGATGAAACATTGGTATAGACAGTAAAAAATGTCTTTTTAGCAAGTTCTGTACTACCAAATGACTTTCAAAACATTGTAATCAATTGCCCTGAGTTGAGACCCTGTGTGCTTGTCACCAGATAGTGAAATTATTTTCTTTTGATTATTTTCTTTTGATTAGCCTACGCAAATTTGAAATGATTTTGAGATATTTCTCATTGTGCAAACGGCACTTTTTATTCAGAACAAGCACTCCCTTCATTGGGGCAGGGGGAATGAATTATATTTTTAACTTCCTTGAAAAGCACAGTAAACGTATCAGTGTAATATATCTTAAAGGCATATTTTAAACTTGTGATCTTAACTCTGCCTTCGTAAAAAGAATCTTGCATTTTCTTTGTTTTAACTCATCAGTTTTGAATTCGTAATATCAATAGAGGTAAAAATATGGTGCTTGCCACCACATGGAATATTTGAAGTAAACACCAATAGCTTTGATGTATTTAATGGAGGGGGGTTGGGTTTAGATGATTGAGGTAGAAAGAAATAGGATATGCTAATGGATTAGATAAAGTAGGGAGGATGCTCATGTGGAGCACCAACACTGACTTGGTCTAAAGGGTGTATTCGTGTGTAGTTCTCATACCTCTTGATCAGGGCTTTGGTATCAGCAGTGACATTGACTGGACCTGTGTTAATCTTTTATTCGGCTTAGTCTTTCTGCTGAACTGAATTATTGTTTCTTGTAGATGTCAGATGAGCTGGCAAAGCAGCTGGCCAGTTATAAGGCACAACTTCAACAAGTAGAAGCTGCGTTATCTACTGATGCAGAAAATGAAGATCTCCTTAAATTACAAAAGGATTTGCAGGTTGGTGTTCTATTTCTGTTTTTAATACAAGTTTTGCATTCTGTTAAGGTTCCTCCCCTACTTTATTAATGAACAAATTTTGTTTTCAGTGATTGGTAGACTGCAGCAATAAGCTATACCCACTTTATTAATAAAAGCAAACTGCAGAACAACGTCTGGTGGGGCAGGATGATTGTGTTGCATTAGGAACACTGTGTTTCCAATGTATCACTGGGAGCCAGAAACAAACACCAGAAAAGAAATTAAGTCACTTACAGGAAGTATTCAGCTTTGCAACAATCTCGTGTGTTTCTGTCTATGGAAAATAGTTTTTAATTAGCTGTTTCTTCCAATATTAGATGTAGTATGCATTGTGGGTAGCTGTTCTTGACATTGCCTTGAGTCAGTGTTTCATTATCTTTCCACAACAAAGAGAGAAAATTATAAATTACCACAAGTTTCCAGATTAGAAGCATATGATTAGTGCAAGCCATCTGAACTTGAGAGAATAATATATTTGGACATTTGGATATATTGAGCAAAAGTTGGAACATTCAAAACAAAATCGATATCATGTAGGATCCCTTTTCCAAAGTCACATGAGCATGTGAATTGGGAACAGGAACAGGCCTCTCAGCCCATCGAACCTTTCGTGCCATTGAGTAGAATCATGGCTCATTTGATAACATCACATTCTCATCCAGTCTCCAGAATCTTTAACCCCATTTGCTCATTGAGAATCAATTTGACCTTTGCCTTTTTAAAAAAAAAGGTCAGCTTCAACTGCCTTTTGAGGAAAAGTAGGCTCATGAACAAAAATATTTTCCTCCTCTTAAGTGGACAACCCCCGTTATTTTTAAATAGTCACTCCCAGCTCTAGATTCTATCACAAAGGGAAGCCTGCTTTTCCTCTTCATACTCACTGCATTCAGCAGTAGAATGAGTCACTCAGCCTTGCAACTGAAAATTAAAATAGAACAGAACTCTTAATTCACAAAGTATCCAATATGATTTCGTAACTTTAATGTCAGCACTTCGGGTGGAATAAACCATGGATAGGTCCTTGGATACGTTCTTAATTTAGCTTTTCTTGGATTGAATGCAGCACGTTACTAATTTCGAAGTATGTACTTTGAGTTGAGTAATTTGGGAGGTATATGATGTATGTGTGCCTGAATTGTTCCATAAGCTTTGGTGCAAATAGTCTCAGTCTGGGTCATTCATATCTTCAGACTTTTTGATACTGTGAAACTGGTTTCGGACTGCATCGGTGTTTTATTTTTGTTGATATTTTCTAATCAATCTGTTCAGAGATGTTATGACACAGCTCTGGAGCAGGTGGGACTTGTACCTGGGTCACCTAGTCCAGAGGTAGGGATGCTACCAGTGCACCACATGAACCCAGTGCATCGGTTAGATCAATTTAATCAACCTGTTCTGACATGTTATGACGCACCTGTGGAACAGGTGGACCTTGAACACAGGCCTTCTGCCTCAAAGAACACTTCACCTGATGAAGGAGCAGTGCTCCAAAAGCTTGAGGTTTTAAATATACCTGTTGGACTGTAACTTGGCGTCATGCGACTTCTAACTTTGTCCACCCCAGTCCAACACTGGCATCTCCACGTCATGGCTACCATCAAAGATAGGGACGCCGCCACTGCACTACAACAGCCCACTGCATCTGTGATTTTTTTTTTTAACATTATCTGGGTGTTTCAGGGGACACGACTACTGTGCCACAGGAGAGCCCTGCATCACTGTTAGTTTGGAGTCCAGATTGATTAAAGCTGTTAAATTCAGTTCCCCTATCAGAAAGACAGAGGAATTGACTACTGGTAGCTTGTGATTGTGCTTGCCGTTGGGATAAGAAGGACAAATTTAGTATAAATGTGGGCAACTGCCTCTCAAATGCCAGCTTCCAGCAATGGAAACTCACAATTCAAGTGTAGAAACATCTTAAGTCCACTAGAATTCTCGACTTGGCTCTGAGTGAGACCAGTGCAGGGTAATCTTCTACAAGTGCTTGGTGACAGTTTATTTCTGCTACATATAGTATGGTGGGTTGTTTGAAGCCTGAGGCACCATAAAAGTAACCTGGAATCTGCTAGGCTCCCATTCTATGCTTTTGATTTGATATTGTCACCTTGTGTCCAAAATCCATTTGTGTTTTTAAGGATTAATGTCTTAGGTTTGATTGTGTGTGACTGCTGGGATACTCCATCTTTCCCTTTATCATGTCCCGTTGGATATGTTGTAATGGGCCCCTTTTGAAAAGAAAATCCTTCTTTGCACACAATTGTTTAATTTGGCAGGAAGAAACAGAACGTTGAATTTTGTAGAACTTGGACAACCTAAACCATAAAATTGAATTTGAATTTCCTTTTGGTGGTTTTGCATGTTTTTAACCATTATCCTTGCGCTGCTCTAGTGGTAACTTCAGTACTTCGTTCTTAAAGTTAACTTGCAGAATCCTGCATTGATCTCTTCCATTTTTTAAAAAATCAGCCAGCATTTGTATGGCTGGTATTTATTTCCCATTTCTGGTACAGTTAGATTCCACTTCACTTCAGTTAATCATGAGCGTTTTATAATCCTGCAAAGGAAAGCAGGTTATATTAAAGAACATCAGTGAACATATTGGGCTTTTAGAACAATCTGACAACTTCATTTTTACCTATAGTCTCTTATTTCCAGATCTAAACTAAATTCAAACACTCATACTCCCAAGCTGGGTTGAACTGTTTGTCTCTGGATACCCCTCCACCCCCAGCTTGGAATACTAGTCCAGTAACATAAGCACTACATGATTATATCCTGCTGGAAATTGTAAATTCACAGTAGAGATTGGAGGGTGTGGGATAAACGAGGGCTTATGCCATCAGTATCCTGGAAGTGAATCAACTCGTCTGAGGCACTTCACTCTGCGTGTGGTCTGAAAGATGGATACAGGATTCCACAATGTACCTCTATGTGGGGAATGAAAAAGAAAGTTAAATTGCTAAATTGAAAGGAACACCTCCCTTCGTTTCCATATCTCTGGCACTTGAATGTGCATAGTGAGATAGGCAGATGTCATCTATGGTATACTGCCCATGTTTTTCCTGACCCTATGAGGAAGTATTTGACACATGTCACTGCTGCCATGTGTAACTTGCTTTGTGGGAAACCTCAACATGTCCTTCACTCCTGTGGCTCAGTTAATTAGATAAACAGTATGTGCAGATAAACCCTTATGTTCATGTATATATTTGCTGTTGGGGTCACCCAGTGAAGAAAGTCGCTGCAGGGTTGTGTTAATTCCACTCTCTCTGTTACCCCTCATTTTATTTTACGTTAACATACTCTGGATATTACTGTATAAACAAAACGTCAGGCCTGTTGCAATCCGTCATAACCCAAGCTACCATGATATCGCATTCAGGGGAAATCAGACTGTAGTACTTCTATATTTTACATCTTTTTTTCACAGTTGATACACGCCATGTTTGATTTCAGGTGGAATTGGACTCTGCATCTTGTTCTGAGTAAGTATTAATCCTTGTCACCAGTTGCACATGGATTTAAATAGATCTATTTGGCTAAAATTAGTTAGCAGGACTTTATTTGCCCTCCTGATTTCTAGTCTGCTTTCACAGTCCAGTTTAAATGAACTAAGATCTGCTTCTTCAGAATACCACAGAAAAGTAAAATATGCTTGTAGCTGGATATTAATTATCAAAAGTGTGTTATTAGTAGCTGTTCCCAATTACATTTGGTTTCATTTTCCTTGGGCACTTCTTGACATATGTGGTCAGGTGACTGTCAAAAGAGTGGCAGTGCTTTGAAATTGAAAATATTAAATAAAGAGAGAAATTGGGTTAATGTCAGCAAAACCTTGCCAGAACTCACTTGATTGGAACTCATTTTTCAACCACATGTATGCAAAACCTTTCCAATTGCACCTAATGTGGATCGGTCCCATACCAGCTGCTAAATGTACAATACTAGGTAATGCACCTCGTTGTTATTGTCATTTTCAGTACCAGAAGATTGGTAAAGCTACAAATGAAAAGTTTTCTGATGCAAAAGTAGTGTCAAGGATCTTGTGGGTATCTATAAGAGAGTAGCCATGTAATGGTAAGCAACCAATCTAGTGTTTAAACCAGTATCCAACTGTGGAAGATTTGCAAAAAGAATAGACAAGTTAATGTTCTGTATGAAAGTCTATGTATTAACTTGTCTGTTCCTTTTGCAAATCTTTGGATACTGCCTGACATGTTTATTTCTCACATTTTGAGAGATTTTAGTTGGTTCCACCATGCCTGCAGCGTTTCTTTGCTGTTTTTGTCTGACTTGTGAAGTCCTAGTTTTATTTGTATCCTCCTTGAAATTTCTTTCCTGCCACGAGATGGTGCTGTCCAGAGGTCAAGATACAATACAATCCTTCCTGAAGCTGGTAGTAGATCCAGTATGGGCTAAATTTAGCTGCCAGTTAAACTATGCTTGTAGCAGTCCTGCTAAAAGTGAACCTATGTTTAACAGAGGCTTTTGAGGGAAGTGCCCAATAATTTTTACATAATCATATATTGACTATTTTTGCTAATTAAAACCCAAACTTCCGTTTAATTATCATCCAGGCATTGCTGCACATACTGGGACAAAGAACCCATTGTTACCTCTTGAATTTGCTGTTGATCAGTCGGACTAATTCTGATCCTGGGTCTGATATTTCTTCCGCTGCCTTTGGTTTTTATGAATTCTGTTCTGTATTTATTAATTTCTCCATGTAAGAACATATGGCTGGCTAGTATAATAGTACAATCATAGTTGGATTAGGTGTAGGGGCACCAACATGAGAAAAATTTACTTGGCCTCTTCCAAATCAAACTACTTGTCACAGATGCATCTATCAATGACAGTATTGGTAAGATTGACCACCTTCCTGCTTGTGTAATGCCACGTTCTTAATTTCATAGCGAGTGCCCCCTCCATGTTGAAACAGGATAGATTCACAACAGATTTAACAGCTCCAAACTAGG